GCCAAGAAGGAAAGGGCAGCTTCTTTCTTCTTTTTTGTTTTTTATAGACATGGTCTCATTCTGTCACCCTGGCTAGAGTGCAGTGAAACGACCATGGCTTACTGAAGCCTCAGACTCCTGCTTCAACCTCCTTAATAGCTAGGAGTACAGGTGTGTGCCACCACACCTGGTTAATTTTTACATATTTTGGTAGAGATTAGGTCTTGCTATTTGCCAAGGCTGGTCCCAAACTCCTGGCCTCAAGCAATCCTCCTACCACAGCCTCCCAAGTAGCTGGGACTACAGGTGCACCACCACACTCAGCTAATTTTCTTATTTTTTTTGTAGAGATGGGGATCTCACTCTGTTGCCCAGGCTGGTTTCAAACTCCTGGCCTCAAGTGATTCTCCAACCTCGTCTTCCCAAAGTGCTAAAATTACAGGTGTGAGCCACCTCACCAGTTGGCAAGAAAGGGCAATTTCTAAGCACCCCCCAGCAGCTGGCATGAACTGACATGATGTCCCTAAACCTCCCCAACACCTCCTGCAGGGGTTCATTCTCCAGAAGGAAAAGGAGAAGGTGTGGGACTAAACATGAAACGGTAGAATCTGGAACATGAGGGTAGGGGTCCTGAAGACCAAAGACAACTGTTGACAGTATGTGTGTTAGACAGTGGGGCTAATTCACTCTGAGTCCTTCCCCCCAAGTAGCTTCAGCAGAGGAGGGCCAGATGGAGGAGGAAAAGGAAAGAAAAATCTCTTCCATTCTTCTTCTCCCCTCCCCCAACTCCCTGACACCCGCCCCCCCAATCTCTTGGAAGGGGGTGTGAGTTAAAAGCCCATTAATGTGCAGAGCCCCCCCAACCCTTTTGAATCTCCTTACAGGATGTGAACGGGGTGGGATTTGGCCCAGTTGCCATGGCAACTGCGGTGGGAGTTCCCAGACGCTAGGCAACCCTCCAGTGACCCTCGCTGACCTGTCACCCCCGCAACCCGTGGACAATGGGAGTGTGCACTCCAGAGGCCCAGGACGCCTTTCAGCGCAGCCGCCAGCAGCTCTGCCTGCCCCCACCCCACCCGGCTCAGCCCTCCCAGCCCCAAGTCCGGCTCTCCCTGTCCAGGGCGCCCAGACCCCCAACACCTCCCCTCTCAAAATTTGGTGCACACTTCTCCCAGGCCTCATTGCCCCCCTATCAATCAGAGAGCTCTAAGGACATGTGTGGGGTCCCTAGGGAACCCCTCCACCCCCCCCCACACACACACGGGAACATTTTCATACAGGTGAAATCAGATTAGGATAAAACACAAGGGCTACTTTCAAAGAAGACAGCCAGGGTATAGGGTAAAAGTGCAGGGGGGGTAGCAGTGTGATAGAAGCATTTGCCTTGGTGGAGGAAGAGGGCTGATGGACAGCTGGCATGTCTATAGTCTAGGGTATTCTTTAGCAGCTGCTGGGGATCACCAACTCCAGCTGGCCAGCATAGTGCCTGGTATAAAATAAGGCTCAAGGTGTGTTTGTGGAATGACTGAATGCCCCAAGGCCTACCACACTCCCCACGCCTTCTCCTCAGGGTAGATTCTTCATGAGGGAGTGAGACTGCAGACTTGGTGAAATCCCCAAGGGCAGCGTGCAGGTGGTGATGTTCTGTCACTCATCAATGAGAGGGTGGGAAGAGGGAGGTGGGAGCTGGGGCCTTGAATGTGAAATAAGGCAGCCAGTCAAGGACCCTCTCTCCCTAGTCAGACCCGGCCTGGCAGCCAAGCCAGGTCACCCCCAAGTCTCTGTTTAAACAAGCTCCCAGCCTGCTCGTTGCATGGAAACAAGTGCCTGCTCTTGTTCCAAAGTGACGTGGCCGCCCTCTTCAGCACTGTTTGTTTCAGCCTAAAGTCCTGTCACAGGCCTGACTTCTGACTCGCCCTGTTTATCTCTCTCTCCTCTGTCAACTCATTACTCCCAAAGGCCAGGACTGCATTTCCAGGGCTTGTTTACCCAGAGCAGAGGGACAGGGAGAGACAACAGACAGAGAGACAAAGGGAGAGGGGCTTGGAGACCCAAGGAGGTCACAAGGAGGATGGGACGGGCGGTTGTCCTCAGACTCTCTCCTACCCCCTCTGTAACACCTGCAGCTGGTGCTAGAGTAGCTACCGGAGGCCAGCTAGCCATGTTACTTTTTTCTTTTAAATCATTTTGAGAGCTCTTTTAGGAAGATGAAATGCTCTCATCTACTCATCATCAGACATGTATTTAGTGCCCACTACGCTTGGAGACCTGCTCTCTCCATTCCGACAGTGTGAGTTGGGTGGGAGCAAAATGGTGGGTGCACCGAGTCCTGAAGTGGGAACTGGAAGACTGAGGTCTAGCCACAGCCTTCATTGTGTCATTCTGGCAAGTCAGTGCCTACCTCTGGCTGCCTCATCTGTGAAATGGGAATAACAATACCAACCTCCCAGGGACAGTGTGGTGACTTAATGACACAGTGTCCATGAAAACCCTAAGCACCAAAAGATATTTGTTTGTCCTCTTTGTACTTCCAGGTCGTGGTAGAGAGGGGGCAGGAACCCAGGAAGCTGGGCTCTCTTTCCCATACTTGTTTTTCCCATAAGGAGAAACATTTGTTGTTGAGTACCAGAACAAGTTACTATTGAAGCTCCCTCAAAAGCCTGGTTCATATGTTGGGGGTAGAAGGATGGCCCACAGACTATTTCACTTCAATTGAAAATCATTTTAATTTTGCAAGATTCTTTTCATAGTTTTGAGCCAACCAAACCTTTTTAGAGTCTCAAATATGTTCCTTGGCCCTGGGCATGACGCCCATAGTGAGCCCAAATGGATAAAACAGTCTCTGCCTGCCTCCAAATCCCCACCCCGGTTTATTTGTGAAACAGATATAGGATTTTCCAGGACTGTGGGATATCCCCCAAAACAAACAGGAATAACTGGAACGTGGAATATAGATGGGAAAGCATGGCTCATGTGCAATGCAGAACCAAGAAACCTGATCAGTACAGACAGTTCTGTCTCTCCCTACCCCAAACACTTCCCCAGTTATCCAGAGATCTGTGTTCACTTTTCACTTTTAGTAATTTTTAAAAAGAAACATTCCAGTTTCAATACTGCCTAACCCCTGCCATATTCAAAACCTTTCATAGCTCTGTCTGCACTGAGGTACAGGAGGAAAGAACCAGTCATATAAAATTGGTAGCCTTGGGGACTTCTGGGAGTAGAGGGTGTGTTTTGTTATTATTTCGATAAAGGGTAGGGTTTTGCCCTTTGACCCTCTGTTCCCAGCAGACAGCACAGATTCTGTAGGTCTCTTCCCTAGAGAACCTGCTTGGGAAGGTTTGGGAGATGCCAGCAATGTCCCAAGGACCGTCTCCCTGGGGAAAGGAGTCAGGCCCCTTCCTGCTCCAGTCTCTACTGCTGACAAGAGGAAATGTTTTAAAGTTCTCAATTCCAGCCAGGCACAGTGGCTCATGCCTATAATCCCAGCACTCTGAGAGGCTGAGGGAAGAGAACTGCCTGAGCCCAGGAGTTTGAGACCAACCTGGGCAGCATGATGAGGCCTCATCTTTACAATAAATCAAAAAATTAGCCTGGTGTGATGGCACATGCCTGTAGTCTCAGCTACTTGGGAGGCTGGGGCCAAAGGATCACCTGAGTCCAGCAGGTGGAGGCTGCGGTAGCCATGAGTATGCCACTGTACTCCAGCTTGGGTAGCAGAGTGAGACTCCAACTCAAAAAAACAAAAATAAAAAACAAAGTTCTCAAGTCTGCTCACACCCACAGCAACAAGTTCGTTGCATCTGATCCTAACAACTCTGTATTTTAGGTGCCAGACTCAGGAAGGTCCTTGACTTAGCCAAGTTCATACTGCTGCTAAGGGGCGGGACTAAATTCCTGCTTTAGTGCTAGCTGACCAGCTCAGCATGGTGTGCTGGGCTTCTGATGGTGCTGCTTCCGGTTTCACCTCTGGCTCCGAGGAGCTTTGTGGGAAAACGCCCCTTGGGGTGAGGGTGGAGCCCCCAGGTAAACCTGGGAGACAGCAGTACCACAGAGGGGAGCAGGGGAGGATACTGCAAGGACATACATCTGTGCACACACGAGGCAGGGGTGGGGTCCTAGGAGGGGGTACATGCAGGACCCTGATTTTCCATGTTCCCGGCAGAGACCCCAAGAGCCAGCACCCACAGCAGGGATTCCAGGAGCAGAGTCAAAGAAGAGAAAGAATCCCAAAGCCAGGGCTGGCTGGGCCAGTTCTCCGGAACTTGTCAAGCATGATTCTTCCTTCTTAGCCTCCTGGGTGGAGACAGGACCTAGGGCCCCTGCTCTGTCATTACCTAACCAGGCTCCCCACCCTAGTGCCTCCAGTTCCTCAGAGAGGCTGGTCTTGAACTCCTGAACTCTGCACTTCAGGGCGGGGATGCTGGGGTGGAAGAGGGAAGGCGGACACAGATAAGGGCTCCCAGTCTGAGCCCTGAAAATAAAAACCTGCCTTTGCCCACTTCTCCTGGCCTATTCCCAGCTGCTTGGGCCATTCTCTTCACAGCTGGGAAGCTTGGGTCAGGGGCCCAGGCAGACTCAGGCAGAGAATGTTTTACAGTACAAATGAAGTGAAGATCCCCCTGTGTGTACAGCACCCTCTCAACCCTGCTCATTCAGTCAGTCTCCCAGCCAGTGTGCAGGAGGAAAGCGGAGTGACCGCTCATCCAACATGCCGACTCTCAAGCCTGCTGCCCAGGCATCTGTCTCTTCTTATGGCATTTCTGGATCTGTTCCCAGCCTCATGATCTCAGGCCCCTCAGTCCCCCTTCTTTCTCTTAAATATGCGGCACTACTCAAGGCTCTAGGTGGCCACCAGAATAGAAGGGCCCAGAGCGAATCCTCAGGGGCTGGACTGGATCGTCTCAAGAATGTTAACGTGACGTTGTCTGGCAGAGAGCAGTGCCCCAGCAGCCAGGATGAAATGGGATGAGGTCTGGAATACCCCCCTCCCCCTCCCAGATGCCTAGGAGGGCCCCTACCTGTTGCTGCTGGAAGTGCAGCAGCTCCGCAGGGCTCATCTCGCCATTGCTGTCTGCGCCCGTGGCCACATCCCTGCCCGTGCCACTTGTGGCCGTGCCTGTGGCCCCACCACCGCCGCCATCAGTTTGCCCGGAGAGGCTGCCCACGCCGTTCTGACCAGACGGAGCTGACCTGATTGTCTCCGAGGCAGATTCCACCATCATGTCGCTCTAGTGGGACCTGGAGGAGGAGGAAGAATGTGGGGGGGGCAGCTAATGTTAGAAACTGGATAGGCAGCAACTGATGCCCCAACAACACCACCATCACCACCACCACCACCACTGAATGCACCACTGAATGTACCACTTCCTCCAACTCCCATCCCCAGTCCTAGGACAGGTCCTCCTCTTTAACTTCCCAATGTCACCTCTCCCCTAGGACTGAGTAAGGGACAGTTTCAGACCGAAGCTAGGCCTCCCCACATTTCCTCGAACTCCGGCTGCGGAGGAGAGGAGATGAAGCCCTTATACTGCTCCTTAAGGTCCTAAACCTGTTCTGGACTTTCTCTCCTGGCCAGAGTCTTAAGGGGAGTAGGAAGAGGGCAGCAGCTGGACCAAGGAAGCAAAGACAAAAGAGTTCTTCACCAAGGACTCACCATATCGCTCCCCTCAAGGGACTCTGTTCCCTAGGTAGGGAGTTCCTCTAGGGCAGCGCCTCCTGCTCCAGGCTGCCAAAGCCCCTAATCAACATTTGTTCTATAATAAAAATGGCTGCCACGTGGCCAGCACCGACTAGGAGCCAGACATTCGGCTGGGGTATCAATGAAGGAAACCCAGGTGCCACTTCCCTTTTTAAAGCCCTTAGCTCAATGCCCAGTCCAAGAGTAGATGTTCAGTAATATCTTCTTACTCTCTACAGGCACCATGTTTCCCCCTTACAAGAACTGTGGGTACTAGTTACCATGCCAGTTTTACAGACGGGAAACTGAAGGTCCAGAGAGTTACATATTAAGGCCAAGAGTCAAGATCTGAATTCCTCACTACCCCAGAAATGCCTCTTAAGGAGGGGCTGAAACATTCCCTGCAAGACAGGGTATGTCTGCCACAGGGCAGAAACAAGAAGGAGGCTTGAGTTTTTCTCAACTCACGGAGGTTCCAGTATTTCAGGGGGTTTATCCACACAGATTGGAATGAAGATGTGGGAACTTCAGCATGCAGAGCAATTCTCAAATTCTGTGGGTTCCCCAACCACCCCAGAGCCATAGTCCCTTAAGAGGAACATGGATGTCAAACAGGCCATGATTGCTCATAGTCTACCACTGGTTTTCTTTCTTGTTTTTTTTTTTTAAGTTGGAACCTCATTCTGTCACCCAGGCTAGAGTGCAGTGGCACTCTCGTGGCCATTACAGCCTTGACCTGCTTGGCGCAGGTGATTCTCCTGCCTCAGCCTTCCAAGTAGCTGAAACCATAGGTGCACACCACCATGACTAGCTAGTTCTTTTATTTATCATAGAGAAGAGGTCTCACAAAGTTGCCAAGGTTGGTCTCAAATCCCTGTACTCATGCAATCCTCTCACCTCTGCCTCCCAAATTGCTGGGATTATGGGTGTGAGCCACTGTGTCCAGCTTCTACCACTGGTTTTTGACACATCTTAAACTCCCTAACCCTCAGTCCTGGTCTGTGGTAGTGCAACATTCCTCAGGGGATTGGTTCCAGGACCCGTGTGGACACCATAACTCTCAGATGCTCAGACCTTGCAGTCAGCTCTGCAGAGCCTGTGGAGACAAAAGTCAGCCCTCTGTATCCACAGGTTCTGTCTCCCACAAATGCTATATGGTACTTTCGACTATGGTTCCTTGAATCTGTGGATGCAGAACTTGCAGAAAAGAGAAGGCCGAAGCCGGGCTCGGTGGCTCAGCCTGTAATCCCGTGTCTTGGGAGGCTGAGGTGAGTGGACTGCCTGAGCCCGCGGGTTTGAGACCCGCCTGGGCAACTTGGAGAGACCTCATCTCTACAATAAAATAAAAAAATCAGCCAGGCATGGAAGCACATGCCTGTAATTCCGGCTACTCAGAAGGCTGAGACGGAAGGATCGCCTGAGCCCAGCGGGTTGAGGCTGCAGTGGCCGGGAGTGGCCACTGCACTCCAGTCTGGGCAA